ATTTAGTTTGGCAGTAAAATGAACTTATTTTAATAATTTTTTTTTCTCTTTAAATTGTTTATTTTGCTTTCTAAAATTGATGATTGACAATTTAAATGAAAGTTAGATTGTATTTTTACAAGGGCACTCACATGGAGAGTTAATGATGGTGTAACTAGTATCGCATATATGGAGACTACATTTGAGGAGTAGCACTATCCTTGGAGGATGGGAGTGTGTCCAACTGGCCACAGATTTGTTTACTGCCTATTTTCCACTGTGGGTCATATGGGGTGATTTGTGTCTTGGCAGGTGCTGCGGATTCGCGGACACATTATACGACTGTAGGTCGGGGAGTCAGGTCATGACTCCTTTTCAAAACCATGGACAACTCTTGTAGAGAGAGTCCATGACGCCCACTGTTATAAATCACGGTGTCGTTGGTTAAACGGCTTGGGAGTGTATACAGTGGCGTCTTACTTGCACAGTAAGTGAAGTAAGGTGTAATTGGGTCCCGGACGATTTGAGTGTCCACCCAAATTATTATTTATATCATTACCCATATGATTTGAAGGTGTAATGAGTAGTGACTTATTTGTGTCAAGGGCTGATACCATTTCTACCCATTAGGGAGGAGCTTTCCCATTGAATGTATATACCCATTAAATATGTGCCAGATAGTTTGTCCTTAGGTGATTGACCCAAAAGTACATGACGTATTTTTTTTTAGGTAACTAAATGTTGACGATAAAAGATGACTGTACGTGATGGCAGGCCAAGCTTTGCTGATACTTGACTTTGTCAGGAAGTATCAGTTCAGAGGAAGGGTGAATGTCACAACCCTATTAAGTACAGTCAGTGTACCAGTAAGGTGTGCGCCCAGGGTTGACACAGAGGTCAGGGCCGTCACTGGTCAAGTCCGTTCTGTGATCGCACGGCGAAACCAGCGCTCAGGATAAAGCAAGAAAGCTTGAACTGTGTTTTAGTAACACGATGACTGCTTCTGGGACTGAGCTGGTGAACGGGGTTAAGAGACACGAGGTAGAAGGAAGAGGACATTCGGTGTGCGTCAGTCAGGAAGAGAGGATGTTTAGTGACTGGATAGTTTATGTTATAGTATTAAAGTTAGGATATATTTCTGTTAGTGACTGGATAGTTTATGTACAGTTTTGTGTTAGGATAGGATAGTTCTTGTGTAGAGTATTTATGTATATGTGCTGTGAGAGAGTGGCTAACCTGGACACTCTGACCCTGCACTAAGACAGAGACTGGGACAGTTTGATTGGGTCAGCGTGGCGATAGAAGAGAGCGTATCCTGCCGGATTGTGGTTTGTACACCAGAGTATTGCCTGTCGCACGTACTGGGGACGGGGCGATTTTAAAGCCCGTCCAGCCAGAGGGTCCAGGCAATAGGTGGCCACACGGCGGGAAGTCAACTGTCTATGTATTACCTGTACTTCCAATAAAGATTGTCGTGTGTGCTCTGTGTGCGTTCGGGTTCAGTGTGTGTTGTAGGTTAGTCTGTCTGTCATAGGCCTAGTTAGCGAGCCACGGACCGGCAAGGTCATACCAGAGGTTTGTGACAATGACACACCAGTGATGTAGACACATGATAAAATAATAGAACCCAGGTGCTTAAACCTGTCTTCGGCACTTCTAGAGGAGTCAAATTCCCTGAAATACACTTTTCTACAGATATGTGGTTTACAGGATGCATAGTTAATGCTACTGGCTAAATCTGTGCACAAGTTTAGGATATGATTATAGGTTAGTTGCGTATCCTTTACAGGACGTTGACTTTTCTTGGCAAATTTACGCCCAGTAGTTTGCCATTGCTTTCTGGACGGTCGGCTTTCTTGATACCACTGTCGAAACCAACTCAAAGCGCATGGCCCGCAGCTGGTATAGAACCCAGCATCCTGGCATTACGAAGCGTTCGCATTGACTTAGCCAGAGCCGACGGATATGAATATATTAGTTAAAAATAACATTCAAAGGTGTTTTCCTGTGAACGAATGGCCAGGCTTTTAAACAATACAATGACACTGGCTCCCAGATTGACCCAGCCTTGAATGGATACCAGGAAGTAAAGGTGCCCAGCGGGATACTGACCACAACACCCATCAAGTGTCCATTTGCCTATAGAATGTAGGTCGAGCAATAGATGCCCAATACACCTCAAGTTGTGGGCAAAGGGTCCTTTACTTTTAACCCACTGAGACAGCAATTGGCCACAATGTAAATATCCGCCACACCCCTTCTAATATAGTGGTTATCATCATCATTATCATAAGTGGCTGCGTGGTCTCGAGATATGGCGTCTGCCTCGATGGCTGGAGGTCCCGGATTCAGGCCCCAGTGAAGGCTGTGATATTTTTCAAGTGACCCTTTAGTAATTTCCCCTGGTCTCTGGGTAGTAAGATCGGAAGCCTGTGTGTACTGTTCCGCACGTTAAAAAAATCCCTTGGCAGTTGGAAATCAAAAAGAGCAGCCTAACGGCTGCCCTGACAAAATTTGGAGTTAAAAATCTACCCAAAGTATTTCAGAATACTTGTCGGTGCTAGTGAGTTCGTGCAATGTGTTGACATTCTTCGGACTCAGACTTAAGTTGAAAGTAAAATGGAGCACTTATGGGTTATAACCCTTGTGCCGTGATGTTGTTCCGTCTTTTAAACCTTATCATCATCATAATACGGAGTTGCTTCATACTCAAGCAGTTAAAACATTCATGACCACAATCTCACCTCTTCCTCTTCTTCTCTTGTGGAGGCGTAGGTGACCTTTTCCTTTTATGACTTCCACTACTTCCTTTTTTCTGCCGTCTGCTCTTGTCTGCGTCAGGGCTGTCTTGGATCTTAATCCCCAGGAAAGAGCACAACATTATCATTGCTATGGGACAACGTCAGTATAGTACTGCAATTAAACACATGGGTCAGCTGGGGGAAACTGAGAACCAGAGATTTCGCTAAAGTGCAAAACCATACATTTTTTTCTTTTCATCATATGATCGTATCCTTTGTTTACACGGGCAGATTAACTCTTATGCACAGTTTTATTTAAAACAGTAAAATTATGTTTCATTTTTTAATTGATGTCACTGCACTCTGGGTGACCCCTAAGGTTCTCTGTCTCTCAGCCGATAAATAAATGAATGTTTGTGTCATCTCCACATCAGTCAGTCGGTGCTGCAAAAGGGTCAAAGGGACAAATGTGGCATGAGTGGATACCAAGCCTCAGTAAATTTAAATTATATAGAAAATTACATAGATATACTGACAGAAAGATGCAGGAGTGGGAGGGAATGAAAGAGCAGATTTGTTGGTACAAAAGCGAGAGTTTACAGAAACACTTGTACTAGATACAGGAGATTTTCTAAACACCATTTATGAATGAATGCTGACAGAAGTGAAGTGATGTCATTTTAAGTTTACTATGATGTCACAATGACAAACACACAACAGATTTTCTTTGCCCCAAACAATCTTCTTCTTCTTTAACATTCTGAGCCTTTGAGGTTCACTGCTGCAGATATCACCCACCTCCATTTATCTCTCCGGTTGGCCTTCTCTTTCCCGTTGGTGACACCAAGTGTTTGTAGGTCTGTCTGGACATTATCTCTTCATCATCTTCTTGGTCGGCCTCGTCGTCTACGACCATTCAGCTCCCTTGTGTATACAGTTTTTACTTCCCTGTCTTCTGACATTCTTTCAATATGACCAAACCATTTCAGTTTATTAGCTCTCACGATGCTAGTACCAGAGCTGTTATACAGGTGTATTGGCCACTGCACAAAGACGTCATATCTTCTTTACATCTCATGTTCACCGGCTGCAAACTCCAGCAGAAAGTTCTGGTTGTCTGTCCACCTCTGGTCTTTAGTCTGGTTCCACCAGAACCCGGGTGTTGTGTGCACATCTGTTTAACACATCTGACTTCACTGTATGCAGATTGTTGGTTCCTCGCCTCTCAGGAAGATGCACTCCAACTTTGAAGGTAGCTCCTCAATTGGTCAACTCCTACGACATGCTTGTTGGGAAGGCAGTGGGTCTATTCTTGTTCTTCCCCGAATGGGGTCCAGGAACTCGCACGGAGCATCCTATCATTTCAAGTCGGCAAAAGTCATAAAACCGGCTTTCTCTGGGTGACAAGGTTAATTCCCTTCTCCGTGCCTTTTTGGTCTCATTTTTCTTGCCCTTGTGAGTTCTAGTGCAAGGGAAAACTGTTTTTTTTTTTTTTAAATTATCAGATGACTAAGGGAAAGAAACAAACAGGCACACAGACAGGGCACTTACATCATCAACTGTCAGACGGACTTTGCCAGCCTTCTTGGGTTTCTTTCCTTCACCCTGAAACGTAGTTGTTCAGTTAGTTTTGGTTTATTCAAAATTATACTGGCAACTGAATGTCCTCTACATTGCTGAATTCAAAATCTACAAGGGTTTTCAACTGGCATCCTGCAGAAGCCTAGCAAGTGGCCCGTGGATCACCTGCCAATTGTATTATTTTAATGATCTATATATTGCTGGGGCTTGGGCCTCTGAAGATCCCCATTTTCCAACATTTTGGTCCCTGAATCAATGTTTGCTGAATTTCCCTTAGATATACCTGGGCATCATGTTCATTAATGAATTTGTCTTTTATAAGACTATAATACATTTCAAACTCCCTTAATTACTGAATTCCTCATCTCTAAGATTAACACTGAGACATTTAATTCACTTAAATTACTGAATTCACCTTCTATAAGATAGTCTAACCATTATACACTTAGACACTGCCTACATTAGTGAATTAATCTTCTATAAAATAATTTAAGAAACAACTGGACATCGCCTACAATGCTAAATTCATCATCTATAAGACAGCCAAACTATGGAACAATTAAACATATATGCACTGCTGAATTTATCTTCTACAAGATGGCCAAATTGATACACTGAATTCACTTACATTACTGAATTCATCCTCTATCAGATAGTCCTCTTCATTCATCCACTCGTTGAACTCCTCCAGATCAAGTAGCCACCTGGCGCTGACCTGTGAAGACATTACACAAGTTACAGTGTCATTACCCTTTCAGTTAGAACATCCTGTAAACGGATGCTAGTTCTTGGGTGAGCCCAGAACCACAGCACAATGTGTCAGCTCCACATCGAAAGAACCCTCCTTGCATGGAAGTGAATGTCCATATTCTGCCCGTCTTACCTGAAGAACTGACCAGTCTGCCCTGGGTTGATGGCAATCCTTGCAGATCAGGTGAGAAGTCTAGCATGAAATATCCCACACTGCTGACCAAGAAACAAATAAGGAAGGCTGACCCAGAAAATAAATACCCCCTGAAGACAGTTGTGTCGGGGGAAAGATACAAATATCACAGCTATGCTGTAAACCAGTGGTTCTCAACCTTCCTAATGCCACAACCCTTTGATACAGTTGCTAATGTTGTGGCGACCCCCCAACCATACAATTATTCTCGTTGCTACTTCATAACTTCAATAAATATTTGTTTTGCGATGGTCTTTGGCGACCCATGTGAAAGGGCCGTTCGACCCACACAAAAAGGGGTTCGTGACCCATATGTTGAGAACCACTGCTGCACACAATGCACTTACATCACTAAGGCAAACAATTAAGAAGAAGCAGATCCATATCTTTCAATACACAGGGAAACACATTTCGATACATGTCTTCCACTACTAAAGAACCCATATAAGCATTGCTGGAGTTATGTTTGTAAAGGCATTGGTGAACAGTTGATTTTTCCGATGACTGAAAACTTATGGGATACTCTGTAGTCCAGAGATGAAGTAAGTAAAGGCTCTCCACTGTGAGGAAACCTGCTGGCGAGGGCTACAAACTTCACATGTGAGACACCACAATTCCCCTGATAATGGTAGACAATCAGTACCCCTTTCTTGCACACCTTGCATGTCCAGCTCATGAATGTTGCTAGTTTACCTGGGTGAAACCAAGTTCTCATCAGACAACCATTGCACTGCATCAGATACAGATGAGTGGATACTAGAATTGGTTAGATGTGTGTCCTTTACAGAAAACTGCAGAACCAACCAAAGCATTTTTGAGCTGTTAGTAATTTCACCAGGCAAGTTTACGTTCGCTAGTTTGCCTGCCAAGGCTTTCTGAATGGACAGGTCTCGGTATCACTGTCGAAACCTTCATGAAGCGGCCTGCTGTCAAATCACCAACAGCTGAAACTGAACCCAGCACCTCAGAATTGGGAAGTGCGTTGACGACGCCTCAGTCACAGATAGGTATAAGAACACTTGAACAATAACATCAGACATGAACAAGCTATATAATGCTTTATTCTTGACAGTCTGGCGCATCAACAGTCGAAGTTGGATCACTGCAGTGGATATCTGGGAGTACTACTACATGGTAGCAGTGTATCAGCCTTAAACGGGCGCCAGGTTGAGTTCTGGGAAGTAAAGGCGGTCAGCGTGATGTTGACCACATCAACAACTGAGTACCTGTTTGTCTATAAAATTTAGGTCTAGCCCTATATGCCTAAAATAGCTGAAGGTGTGGATAAGGGTCCCTTACTTTTTATTTTTACTACATGAGGCACCAATCTCTTCAACAATGCAACTCTTGTACTACTGTCTGTCTCCCTCTTCTTCTTCATGTTCACTGGCTGTAAATGCCGGCAAAAAGGCGTGGTTGTTCATCTACTTCTGGACTTTGGTACTGTTCCAGAACTTCAGTTACGCATGCACATCTGTTTTACAGTCTGTTTATTTGTATGCAGACTGTCTGTTCAGGCATGAAGGAGAAACCATGCAATGCTGGTTAGCCCTCAAGAGAAAGCAGGGGCAGGACATGAGCATTGCCCGTTTCCATAGATGCACAGCCAGTACAAGGTGCTCTGGTACTTGGCTCACCCAAGGAATCATCACATCCTGCTCATGACTGTTTAACCCCACTTCCATATATTAAATATCTAAAGTCATCCCAGGCTATGCTGCCTTAAAAAGCCAGCAGTAGGCAGCCTGCAAACCCGGGATTTTGATTACCTTCACAAAATGAGAACTTTGGTGGTTTTTTGTTGTTGTATGCTAGACTTTCACTGCAGCAAACTTTCGTGTTCACTGTAATATTCCAGACAGATGCATTGGGGCATTCAGTGTGGAAAAGCGGTCTTAAGACAAGAAGTATGCCAACGGGACAAAGATAACTAGGACCGTACCTCCCAAACTTCCGGAGGCTGACTGTGTTCCATGTCGTAATCAATGTTGACATCACTGACCCAGGAATCGTAGCTAGACAAAGAAAACAATGAACAAATAACACAACAACCAAACCATGTCATATCCCAACAACATTATCCTCGGGCGCCCAAAGAAGAGAAAAATCATTCAACAACAAACTATATAAACTGCGTCAACACAGGAATCATAACTCCACTCAAAAAGAAATAATTAAAGCCAACAATAACAGTGGCTGGCTGAACGGTTAAGAACCCTGGCCTCTCATGCGGGAGACCAAGATTAGAATCCTCCATAAGGTTTATGAGTCTTATGTCAGGGGCAAAATTAAATCCCTAACTTGCACAGTCCATGGCGACAGCACCAGCCATGCAGTCCTAAATCCTCAGACTCAAAGATCTCCTTCCTACACCATTAAAATGATAATATGTAATAACCTTTTTTTTTTTAACCAACTATACATCCAACAGGGTTCGTAGTCAATTTCACTAACATTTGTCATTCTTTTTTCAAGGTATTTTTGTTTTATTAACAGATGTACTAGGCATGTGCGGTACTTTTTCATGATTACACATGTGGATAAATGCCCACAGCTAACCTAACCTAAGACTAAGCTCATTAACCAAATCAAGACAGATGAAGGTCATACTGACAGCAGTGTCGACACAAGAAACGACTGAACAGGAAACAAGCAAACATAACAAAGTTAATCAATTGTGTATTAAGTTGTAACAACAGACCATGATCACAGAGAACTAAAAGTATAGGAAACTAACAAACAGCCATTTGAGTCCTCTTGCCAATTTGCTGAAAAACCCTGTTTGTGGCCTGGAAAGCTCTCACAGCAGCTGTCTTAATGCCTCCATTCTGGTCTATTACTACTACTAAAAGGTATCTGAACTGGTTGACCTGCTCTGATGCATACTGTCCCATCTGGTGTTTCCTCTCCTCTCTTGAGATCACTATGGTTTTAGTTTTGAAGATGCTGTCAGGGTCAAGGTCATAAGTGTAGACCCAAAAAAATATGGAATGGACAATCAGATGATAAAGCATGGGGAGAACTTGGGGATGGGCTGCAAACATAGCACTTCCAACAGTAGACAACTGAAGGACAACCAAATGTACGTCTTCAGCAGAACCGCTTGTCTCGTAGCAGACGCCAACTCATCCATTTGTACGGAACTGGACAGTCAGGTTTTTCTGCCCCTGTCGGCTGCTTGTTGAAACATTAACTTTTTCTGCAGATTCGCTCACTTCTCATTCTCCAAGTGCCACACAACTCGGCTCTCTCAACCTTGAAAACAAGACTGATTCACCTAAATCATTCCAAGTTGAAATAATCTGTGCCGATCTGTCAATAAAATATAGGTCTAGCCCTATATGCCCTATACGCCTAAAGGCGTGGAAGAAGAGTCCTTTACTTTTTTGTTTTTTACTTATATGCACACAAGATTTCTTGCCTAGTCGTAGCCAGTTATGCATTCCTGTGTAGGTTCCGGGGCGCCAGAGCGCGGTGGGGGGTTAAAATGATCCACTGTTCCCTTCAAGCATTAAAGTCTATTAATTAGGGGTGTTCCCTCCGAAGTCTCAGTGCATCTGCCTGAGATGGTAAGGAACCAACAGTCGGCATATAAATAAGCCATATCAGTAAAATGGGTGCGCATGCAAAACTACATTTCTGGAACAAGATCAAAGTCCAGAAATGGACAAACAACCTGAATTTGTTGCGGAAGTTTACAGCTGGTGAACATTAAGAAGCAGAAGGATGCAATCCTAGTGGCAATGATCAGTTTTGTAATTTCTTTTATCTTTAATCATTACCTCAGGGTTGAAAAACTAAACACTTAGTTAATATGACAGATTATCCTCATTGCACACTGAATCATTCAGACCACAAGTGTTTGGATCCAATCAGTAAATCCTGCAGTGTATACTGACTGACGACACCAGTCCTGCGTTGGTTTCTTATTCTCCTTTGGCTTCCTGCATAGTGCACTTGTCTGGCCACACCAGTCCTGTGTTGGTTTCTTATTCTCCTTTGGCTTCCTGCATAGTGCACTTGTCTGGCCACACCAGTCCTGTGTTGGTTTCTTATTCTCCTTTGGCTCCCTGCATAGTGCACTTGTCTGGCCACACCAGTCCTGTGTTGGTTTCTTATTCTCCTTTGGCTTCCTGCACAGTGCACATGTCTGGCCACACCCCCTTTTACATGTTCTTGCAGCCTGGTCATGGTTGTACATCACCTAGTTCTCACAAATGTTTTATTTCTCGTAGAGTATATATACAGTATACCAGTCTAGTTTACGGTATGTCCGGGTAAAGTCTTCAAAGTCTGAATGCATTTGCCTGAGAGGCAGGGGACCAAGAGTCTGCAAACGAATATGACAGATCTGTAAAACAGGTGTGCACGCAACACTCAGGTTCTGGGACAAGTCTCAAGTCCTGAGGTGGAACAAACAGAACTTTCCACTGGAGTTTACAGCCCATGAGCGCAGAGAAGAAGACAACATGCTAGTTAAGGAGGGTGGTTGAATTCCCCCGACCCTTTGTCACAAATCGGACTCCAGAAAACATGGCAGAAATGATTAAACAATGAAACTACTATATTTTCCCACACAATCGATGTTTCCCCCCTTTTTGTTTTTAAAGTTTGTTCTATTTCTACTTCTTTGCGTTCACCAGCTGTAAACTCTGGCGGAAAGTTCTGGTTGTTCATCCACTTCTGGACTGCAGTCCTGTTCCAGAACCTGTGTTGCGTGTGCATCCGTTTTACAGATCTGACTTATTTGTATGCAGACTGCTGGTTCCTTGCCTCTCAGGCAGATGCACTCTGGCTTTCAAAAAAGCTTCTCATTAGCCGACTCTTTCGACATGGTTTTGGGTCTTTTCTTGTTTTCCCTTAACAGGGTCCCGAAACCCACACAAGGATTTTTTAAATTTTAAAATAGGAAGTTGCCTTACAGCTGAAATGTATATGAAGACTTTACTGTTAATTTTAGGTTAAAAAATAAATGGGTTTAACTTATATAAGAGGGCCTCGTATACACGGAAACATACGGTCCATAATAATGTACAACGAATGCCAAAATGACAACTGACTAAATAAATACAAGCTGGCTGAGACAAGAACGTACCTTAAGGTAACTTTCACAACACACTCTCAATGACAACAATTGAAACACACCTATCAGGGTAATACCACCAGTGGATCCCATAGCTGCGATCTCGGCGGAAGGTAGGTCTGAAGTACTCTTCTGTTGAAATAAAGAAAATTTTTTATTAGCAAGTACACCTTCTCCTCAAATTATGATCTATGCAACTTATGACCATCTGCACTTTTAGGGTGCTGGAACATGAAGCAGAGGCCGGCCCCCCACGACATTGGATAAACAACACTGTAAAGGCATTGGTTACGAAACACAAGGCTGGACAACTGGCTAGGGAAACAGAAACTTTCAGGCGTGCAGTGATGAGAGCGATGTTGGTTTTTTTTTAAATTAATATCTTACCCCAGATGATGACACAGGATAGTTTAACATTTTAGAGGGTGGTAAGACTGGTTTCCCGGTTTTCTGAAGCTTTTAACAACCCCAAAACATCTAGAACTGGCACTAACCCCAACCCACCTACGTTCCACTAGAGTGCAGCCTAGGTCCTACGACTGCATGCAGCCTAGGTCCCAAGACTGCACGCTGCCTATCTACCACCCCCTGAAATATTAGACTGTCCCGTGACCTGCAGATTTCCCCTGTTTGGGGTAGGATTTTAATAAAGCACTGTGACGTCTGTAAAAGACCTGCTAATTGATTGACTGACCAATGGGAACTGCAAAAGTAGACTTTGGCAAGATGCAACAGATCACGGCAAAAGTAGACTTTGGCAAGATGCAACAGATCATGGCAAGAGTAAACTTGGCAAGATGCAACAGATCACGGCAAAAGTAGACTTTAACAAGATGCAACAGATCACGGCAAAAGTAGACTTTGGCAAGATGCAACAGATCACGGCAAAAGTAGACTTTGGCAAGATGCAACAGATCATGGCAAGAGTAAACTTGGCAAGATGCAACAGATCATGGCAAAAGTAGACTTTGCAAGATGCAACAGATCATGGCAAAAGTAGATTTTAGCAAGATGAAACAGATCATGGCAAAAGAAGACTTTAGCCAGATGCAACAGATCATGGCAAAAGTAGACTTTGGCAAGATGCAACAGATCATGGCAAAAGTAGATTTTAGCAAGATGCAACAGATCATCATCAGCTTCCACTTTTGCTTGAGGAGGGAGGAATGTTTGTGGACCAATGCTTGATGGGTACCAAAAAACTTACAAAGGGCCCTTTTCCGCACCTTTAGGCGTAAAGGGCATATAGGGCTAGACCTATATTTTATACACCAATCAGCACAATACTGGTGATGTGGTCAGCATCACGCCAGCTGCCTTTACTTCCCGGGACTGCACCCGGTATCCACTCAAGGCTGGGCCGACATGGGAGTCAAGGTCATTTTTGAAAAAAAGTCCGGCTCCGCCAGGGAGCAAACCCACGACCTTCCGATCCGTGACAGGGATCTAGCCGTTCCGCCACGGCGAATCCCAATGCTTGATGGGTACCAGGGGCTATCATTCTCTCATGTGGACACAGAATGTCTTTAATGCCACCTTCTTGGGCCTCCTCATATTTTCACATCAGATCTTTTTAGATGTAGTGCCTAAGCTGGTAGTTGTGGTGGCACGCTGAATGAGTGACAGCCAATAGAAAATCTTTAGTAAAGTACAGCCTAGCATATAATACCACATCTAGCAAGAGAATAGAGATGAAGGCAGTCACTGCAGCTTTCCAGTGGCTAGAGAACGAGATGCATAAACATGGCATAATTGTAACAGACTCTGAAAGCATGCTGAAAAAGGTGAAGACAGGTTTGCGTCGAGCAGAGTGGCAAGCTTGACTTGTAAGGTCATGGGTAGTGAGCATACTTTGGATCTTTTCTCAAGGCTAAACAGGCGTGGTGGTGAATGAACAGGCAGACATATTGGCTGAATCTGCACTATTGGGCGAGTAACTGGTACAGGATAGGTAGATGTGGACATGGTCCTTTGAGAAAAAGTAATTAAGTCAGAAGAGAAACTGGATTATTATGGCCTCGAGAAAAGGATGCACCTGTGTGTGACCAGAGGCTCTGGCCGGTTCACCACACTCAGAGAAACGGCAAGACGGACCAAAAACCAGACCCTGGCTTTGTGCCAGAGCCTAAGTTTTACATCTGTACAGGCTTATTTGTGTGCAGCTGGTTGTTCCTTGCCGCTCGGGCACCGGCTGTAAACTCCAGGCGGAAAGTTCTTGTTGTTCATTGACCACTGACTTTAGACATTTCCAGAACCTGAGTGTTGTATGCACAACAATTTTACAGATCTGGCTTATTTTATGCAGACTGTTGGCTCCTCTCAGGCAGATGCAGTCGGACTAAACAGAAAGTCCCCAATCAGTCGACTCCTAGGACATGCTTGTTGGAGAGGCAGTGGGTCTATTAATCTTCTTCTTCTTCGCGTTCATCGGCTGTGAACTCCGGTGGAAAGTTTTGGTTGTTCGTCCACTTCTGGACTGCAGTCCTGTTCCAGAACCTGAGTGTTGCGTGTGCATCGGTTTGACAGATCTGTATGCGGACTGTTGGTTCCTTGCCTCTCAGGCAGATGCACTCCCACTTCGAAGGAAGCTCCCATTTAGTCGACTTTTACGACATGCTTTTGGGTAGGCAGTGGGTCTATTCTTGTTTTTCCCATAGTAGGGCCCCGGAACCCACACGTGGGAGTGGGGGTGTATATTAATGATTAAACAGCCTTTATTAATAAATCACGAAAACAATCACTGTGTTCTCACCTTCCTGAGAGGGAGGGTTCTGTGGTATTGTGTACACAACGTGTGTAGCAGCTTCAGGGTCATCCACCAATACTCCTTGGTGCCGTTTGATGATGTCCCGCAGCTTGGGCACCAGAAGCTTGTCCACGTCAGGCCGGATGTAAATATGAGGCAAGACCAGGTGTTTGGACTGAATCAGTGCTTTCTCCGCCTGTAGAAACATTTCTATATTGCGGTCCATCCGAGACGGTGACTGAAAATCAAAACGGCGCCTGCAGAATGAGCAAAATGTGTGGTTAATTCTGATGAAGATGTGCTAATGCAACAGATAAAGGAAAAACAGAAATGAAACAGTTTTAGACACAAATCACAAACAGTACAGTGGATACTGTCATTATACAGAACGAACATTTTTTTTAAGCATTCACCGAATGTAAACTCAAGAGGAAAATTCTGGTTGTTAGTCTACTCCTAGACTTTTGTTCCAGAACTTGAGTTTTGACTGCGCACATGTGCTACAGATCTGGAAGGTTTATTTATATCCAGATATCTGGAATATTTAATTATATGCAGAATGTTGGCTCCTTGTCTTTTGAGCAGATGCAGAGTTTAAAGGAAACATCTCGAATAAGTTGCCTTGTACTAAATGCTTTTGGTAGGGGGGTGGGGAGTCGGGTGGCCTGTTCTCTACTCCCTCGCCCTAATACTGCTCCGGAACCCACATGGGGAGGAATGAGCATTATTCACTGATCCCAAACACCTTTTTTTTTTTATTTTAACCCACCAAAGAAGGAACCGTGGCACTTCATGCAATGGCAACCCTAGGGGACGTAATCAATGGGTGTTTACAGCGACCATAAGGGAGACAATCCATTGTTTGTGTATGTTTGCATAATAATAATAATAATCTTTCATATTCAAGACTGTTTGAAGCTAGTGTTAGCCCTAACTCTAACACTAACCCTAAGCATAATCTCAAACGATATCATCGAACTGAAAAAGGGCCAGTGACCACAGACCAGAGGTACACCTTAAAGCAGGGCTATCCAATCCAGTTTAATCGGGAGGCCAAATGTTGAAAATAGGGATCGTTCACGGCCAGAGCCCTGTGACCCACTATAAAAAAGACAGACTACAAAAAAAAACTGGCAATGATTCGCGTCCCACTTGCTAGGTCTCCATGGGCCAGAAGGCCACCAGTTCCTAATGCAAAACAATAATGATGAAAAGGGACTCACCATCCTAATTCAGTTTTGAATTTAAATACAGCCTGGAAAAACTGACATAGACTTGAACCAGGCTTGAAATCCATGAAAATTCTCATCTGCAAAGTAAAAAAATACTGATAGACTTTTAGGCACTAATGTCACAATATTATTATTTTTCATGTTCAACATGTCTTCTCCTCCTCCTTCGCGTTTACCGGCTGTAAACTCCGTCGGAAAGTTCTGGTTGTTTGTCTACCTCTGGACATTAGTCTTGTTCCAGCACCTGACCGTTGCGTGCACATTTGTTTTACAGATCTGACATACTTGTATGCAGATTGCTGGTTCTTTGTCTCTCAGGCAGATACACTCCAACTTCGAAAGGAATCAACAGATGTAAACTCAGAAATCCGGAAAAGTCCTGGTTGTCTGTATACTTCTGGGCTTTGGTCTTGTTGCAGAACTTGAAATTTGCACACACACTCATCATTTTGACAAATATAGGCTTATCTGTATACAGGCAGTTGGTTCCTCAACTCCCAAGCAGATTTACTCTGACTTCGAAGAAAACAACCCTGATTAGAAGCTTTTTATGACATGCTTGTTGGGAAAGGGGGGGGGGGGGCCAATAGGTATCTTTCTAAATGGGAGTTTATAGCTGGTGAACATGAAGAAGAAGAATATAATGAAGAAAGAAAGAAAAGAGAAAAGAAAGAAGAAAGAAAGAAGAAAGAAAGAAAGAAAGAAAGAAAGAAAGAAAAAGAAAGAAAGATAGTTACCGGAATTTTCGTGAGTGCAGGACTGGTGGCATGTTTTCCGAATACATCCTCCTGAAACTGTAGCAGCTGCACCAGCAGACTGGCCAGATTTTTGTTAGTCGGTGGGTCAGCTTGAACATACTGGAAGAAAAAGATTAATTTAATAACGCTCATATTAGTGAAATAAATACTCTGTTCACAGAATCAGTTGCAAGATAAATTTAACAAAATTTATGTAAGATCACAACAAATCAAACAACCCTCACTGAGCCCAGAGGCACATAAGGCAGAGACAAACTGTCGCCACTCAATCCGATCCTGAGCCATCTTCTCTTTCTCTAGTTTTGTCCTTTGTGTAGCCTTGAGTTCAGCCTCAAAGGTTCAGCCTGTGGGTTCTGGACTTTGTGGCCACACAAATAGGTACATTCTTCTTTGTTGCACGTTAGACACCTTTAACGTTGTTTCAACTGTGCCCTTAGCATGACAGTATGGGGAAGCATGCGTCAGGCGTGGCTTCAACTGTTTGGTCCCAGCACTCGGGCGTGGGGCCAGTGTATATGGACATTTTGACTTTTTTTTTTTTTCTAATCGGTACGAATTGTGATGGTCGGACTTTGAGCTTGCTTGTGTGCCGAAGGATCTGACTTTGTTGGACGTTACTGACCAGCCAGCAGATGAAAAGTTGCTGTCGTGTGTACCTCAGCGCAGATTGACAGAGGGTGTACGTAGGTAGGATCTGACTGCGAGAAACCACCCACAAGAGATGTTACTCGTCTTGGATGCGGGTAAATCTCTTGGTCAAGGGTTGAGTCTCAGCAGCACAGATTTCCGTTTGCTCCAGACTTTTAACCGAGAGTTGTCATTAGGTGGTACATTTGCCAAGCAGACTTTACTCATGTACCGAATGAGTTTTGATAGACTTTTCACCCATGCGTTTGGGGGCAGGCTGGTGTTAACACCTCTGGGGGCTGCCAGCTCCAAGAACCCCCGCCAACTCTGATAATGCTCATTTGAGACATTATCCATGGCGCACGACGGGGACGTACAGCAGGAGTCTTGTATGAGGTTCCATAAAACCAGAACAGTGAAGGACTGGCGCCCTAGTGAGGTAAGGAGTAACTCCTTATACACATCACATCAGACTTAACTTTCCCTCACGCCTGTGACCTAAATCACCGCGCTACGGCTCTCCTTCTAACTTCGCCCCTTTATTATCTCGGCCAAACAAATACCCTAACAGGGCCTCAGTCGTGTGTAAAATGCAGATTTCCCCGTTGAACACATCGTGGCAAAAAGTAGGATTACTGTCCGTTGACACTTTCGAGCAACGCAACAATACACACGATAATAGCGATATGGCGGGGAGACCACGCTCTTTGACACAGATTAGCGATAGTGTTCTTCCGATTAAACTCATCGCCGAGCTTATCCCCTGCGTCGCTACACGAGGCGCGGATTGGGGTCTAAACTAGATGGCTGGGACTCACGAGCAGCAGCTACCGCATCTCCTGCAACTTCCTCCCATTTATTTGCTCATGAGTCCCAGGCATCTAGTTTAGCCCCCAATCTGCGCTTAGCGGAGCAGGGGATACTGTCGTAAGTGCGGCATAGTCGCAGAAACAGGTCTGCATTTAACATATCGCTGAAACCCTTTTAGAGCATGTTTGACTTCGATAATATTGGTCCGTTCTTCTGAGGCGATCCTAGTTTTGCCGCGATTTTTTCCTCAGCAGGCACTCCGCATTTTACTAACGACTGAGGCCCTGTTAGGGTATTTGTTTGGCCGCCATAATATGTAATAAGTTCGAAGTAGAGCCGAAAAGGCTAAACATACAAACAACAAAACAAAGAGGAATCTAGAAAGGGAGAAACGTTTTTTTTTTTGTAGATAAATTATTTTTAATTCGAATGATCTGATCGCACTTTGTAGTTTAATTTTAATTTAAGTAATTTTAATTCTGAAAAATCCCATTTTATGAAATAATTATAAAAATTAATTTAAATTTTCCATTTCACAATTTCAGATTTCTAAGAAGAAGAGGCGACTTGGATCTTCAGACTATCAAGACTGCTAACTTTCTACTAGTAATTCAATTCTGAAACATGATTATAAATTTATATAAATATTATTATAATAATAATAATTAAAGAGCGCTATCATCCCAAAGAAAAAAGCCTAAAATTTAAAACGGAAAATTTACTGAAATTTAAATAAAAACACACAACTATACACAGCATCGTTTGTTTAGACAAATCTCTTAGTCATACTTTTATACTATAAAATTTTAAGTCTATAATTACCTTTTTGCAGTTCTTTAAAAGCCACGTACGAACAGGATCAAACTGAGCGACGGTTTCCTGCGATTCAAAATATTTCACATTCGGTCCCCCGTCTTTCTTCTTCTGCAGCGCCATTTTATTTTCACACCGGAGGTGGCCGCCGCAGTAAATATGGCCAAGTATAATTCCACGACGGATTGGAAAAAATTATAGCAGAAGGCATGGTACCAGGAAGGAGAGGCAGGAAGAGACCGACACGAAGATGGGCACAGGATATACGTGACTCCTTGAGTATGAAAGTACATGAGGCGGGAGAACTGGCGAGAGACCCAGTTTCTTTCATGCAGACTGTGATGAGAGTGACGTTCTTAAAAGGACCTGCTACATGATGATGATAAATAACAAAACTGTTTTTCAGGTATCAAAAATTATAGAATTTAGATTCGTGTTCGTCTAACTCTTTAGTCACTTGAATGATATTGTAATTTACAACAACAACAAAAATGGTATGGAAATGTTTAATAGTGAAAGTTATTAATAGTAGTAAATTTTTACCCCACTAGGACATCACACAAGCGATAAACACCCGGCGACACAAAGTGCCACCATACTGATCACCCGTGGAGAGCTCCCCAAAACCCCTTTCAGCCGTTATGGTCACATTTGTGGCCCAGCTATATTCAGGGCCACCGGCAAAAGCCAGGTTGTGGTTTCAAAAAACTAACTGTACTGTAAAGTTTGCATTCTGTATATAGGGCTAGACCAATGTTGTCTCCAGTATACTGGAGACCGAACTGGCTAGACACACATTTTTTAGACTAATCAGCACTCGCTGGGTGATGCGGTCAACATCGCACCGGCGGCCTTTACTTCCCAGGGCTGTACCTGGTACCCACTCAAGACTTGGTCGACCTGTGAGCCAAAGTCATTTTTGGAGAGAAAACAGCCCAGCTCCGTCACGACCCGAACTCACGACATTCCGATGCGTAGGCTAGCGTCTAGCCGTTACACCACAGTAGCTCCCTAGGAGAATAAAAGTTTACCATTGTGTTAATATGGTGGATATGTGGGCTCATTTTTTTTTCAGTTGTGGCAGCTTGTTGCTTCTAACAATAGTTAGCTTTTGAATTTTCCTCCATTTGTGGACTGAAAGGATATAGATCCGTCGCCCAGCTACTCAGCTGTGAGGTGCAGATTTCAGTTGGAATGTTATGCGACTGTGTTCAGAGCGGTTTGTATTGTGATCTGCAAATTTAAAAAAAAAAAGGCCATATTTGCTTGTGTAAATACTGATGTCTTATCTATTGTTTCTGCCGACGATGAACTGCTTTTCTAGTGCTAGATTGGCTGTGTTGACACTTCTGAATTTGGCATTTAGGGCGTCTTTATGGTATTAGAAAAAATAATAGCAGAAGGCAGGGTACCAGAAAGGAGAGGCGGGGGCCAATTAACACGAAGATGGGCACAGGATATAAGTGACTCCTTGAGTGTGAAGTACATGAGCTGGCGAGAGGCCAAGTTTCTGTCAGGCAGTGATGAGAGCGACGTTCTGCAAAGCACCTGCTACATAATGATGATGATGTATGCTATTATTCCTCCATCACATAGACTCGCAAAAAGAATTGGGTGAAAAATTTAATTCTGCAGATGATGGATGAAAGAAAGAAAAAAGAATGATAAAGAAGACTATTCTAGTATACACAAAGAAACAGTGAACAAATGCAGAGGCTAAAGAAACCTGTCTGAATCAGATGTGCACAGAGAATAAGAAAAATCACGGGAAAGACACATTCCATGCATCAACAGATAAGTATATTATCAGGGAACAAGAAATGTAACATCAGTGGGTGTTTAAAATCGAAAGAAAGTGAAATATTAATGGGACAATGTGACATAATTAAAAGATGGATAGAGTACTTGAGGGATCTGTATGATGATAACAGAACATACGTATAATTGCAGGGCAACAGTTAAGTCTCATCAATACTAGCTGCAGAAGATAGGATGTACTGCATCACATGAAAAAAGGAAAGGAACATGGGACTAAACAACAGCACACTGGAGGAAACTGTAGCTTTGGG